TTATGTATATATGTAATTACAGTTTATTTGGTGACTTTTTACCTGGGTGAATCCTCATTTGTCACCATCCCCCCTGGGAGTTTCCTCCTCCCGCCTCCCTGAGGTAATCACAATTCTGTCACCATAGCTTGGTTTTGCCCGTCACTGAACTTCATGTAACTAGACTCATACGGTATTTACTCTTCTGTATCAGACTTTTTTCACTGTATGCGATGTTTTTCTTGGTTTCTTTGTTTACTTTTCTTTTTAGAGATTCATCCATGTTGGGTTTTGCTCTTTTTAATTGATGAATAGTGTTCCTTTTTATTGATGAATAATGTTCCTTTGTATGACTATATCATAATTTGTTCATCTCATATATGTAACATGGCCTTCTTTTCACTTACTGTAGTGATATTTTTCATATCTTTAAGTAATCTTCAAAAAATCTTTTTCATGGGTATTAATGCTTTATCTGGCCAAGGCATACTTTATAAGTATATACATAGGTATAAACAATGAATATTTTATAAGTAAACAAGCAAAACATACCTCTTTTGATCATTTAGGTTTCTTTTTTTATGATAGTTATAAATAATGCTGCAGTAAACTGTCTTTATATACAGATTTTTGTTTATATCACTGATTATTTCTTTAAGATACATTACTGCAAGGGGGGTATTGGATTAAAAGAATAATGTTTTGCTCAATTACATTAAAGTTTTTACTAATTTCTTACAGTATATTCCATTGCATTCTGACAACACAAATTGGGTTTGAATTCATTGTCTTGTTTGACAGTTAAAAAGTGGAAAGTTTTTAGATTTTGGTTTTATTGATTACTTGTGAGACTGAACAGTTTTGCAGATATTTATTAGTTGCTTTTTTTTTTTTTGACTTGTCTTTTTGAGTTTGCTAACTTGTATTGCAGTGCTTGACCAATCTTCAAATGTTTACGTGTTGGGGGTATTACATTAATTCTTTGTTTAATTTTCCTGCTTAAAAAAATTGGCTAGTTTTGTGTTTGTTTTGTGTAATATACTACAGTTTTAAATGTTATATGGTCTAATCTGTTGATTATTTTTTTGTTATATCTTTCACTACTTTTATGTCTAAGGAATTCTCACATGTGATCAGATATTTGCTGATGCTCTGAAATTTTTTTATTGAGGTATAATTGTTGTGTAACATTGTGTAAGCTTAGGGTGTTGGACATTGATTTGACACATTTATGTTGCGCTATAGTTGCCATTGTAGTGTTAGCTAATATCTCTAGCATGTCACATAATTATCGTTGCATCTCTGGATGGGCTGCTGATGCTTTTCAAATCATTTCGTATATTTACTGATATCACAGACTCAGATGTGAGGAGAAGATATTTATTTGGTCTATACGTAATCTGATATTTTTTGGTGCCTTGCTTGGTAATGGAAAAATTACTATTTAATCCTACTTATATTGTAAGAAACTCATTTAACTATTGCTCAGGTTCTCTGAGAAAACCCTTTGAGACACTCTCGTAGATTTCTGCCCCTCCCCCTTCCTCCAGGGGTGTTTGGGGAATTGACTGTCCTGTCCCGGTGGGAAGGGGGGGCCCTCGTGTCTGTCTGGGGGCCTGCATTGAGCTCTGGCTCCTCCGGTCTTTGTGCTGATGTCCCTTGTCCTCGGGCAGCTGGCACCTATCTTGCCTGCCCTGCCGAAACCTGCACATGGTGATCGTGGGCCGTTGCCTCCTCCTAAGTACTCCTCCCAAGCATCTGCCTTCTTTCCTGGCCGCCGTGGCCCACACCTTAGCTCTCCTCGGCTCCCTCAGATGCTGTTCCATCCCTCTGTGTCCTCTCCAACCCTGGAACATCCTGTGGCATCTACACCGCGTAGGAGGCAAGAGGGACATCACATTTGTCCTATAGTTGCCTCACTTTCTCTTCTTCTGTATAACATACCTGTTCCCTTTCTTGTCAGTCTGAGTTTACCGAATATAAATGAAACTACTTGCCTACTTGAGCACCATAGACCTGTTTGCACACCTGAGTTAGGAACCTCGTCTATTTTATGTTTGCAAGATAGTTAACTTTTAATGTGCTATAGTGAATAGACTCATGAGGACATTATACTTAAATGTTTATTGATTTTGATGTCTATAATCCTGTATTGGGCTTTTGCTAGAATTTCAATTAGTGAATTTATTGCCTATTTTTTATTTTCGTGTTGTACTATCATTGACGTATAACATTGTAAATTATTACTTTCGAATGAAAGAAATCTGGTGGGAAAGCAGTGAGACATCTGACATTAATCTCTGTGCTTAGGAGCTCATGTCCTAGTGGGGGAGACAGTCGTCAGTAAGAGGTGGTTACTCACTGAGACGGTGACAGTGTTAATAAAGAGCTGAAGGAAGAGAGGGAATGAGCAGTGGGGATGGCAGGGGAGGGAGGAAGGGCGTTCCAGGCAGAGAAACGCCAAGTGCAAAGGCCCTGCCGTCAGGTGCAAAGGCCCTGTGGTCGCAGAGTGCCCGGCAGCAGTGTCCTGAGTGCTAGTGCCTCCGTTGGGCCTGAGGGGTGGGAAATGAGGATGTGACAGGGGTCAGGGGTTTGGATTTTATCTTTTCTGCTTTAGATCTTCTGCTAAGAACGCTGGCATTTTTCCTTTGTCGGCAATTCCTAGTTTCAGGGTCTGATTCCGTGGTTGTCATGAAGTTGCAAGGATTTGATTTGGCTTCTCCAAAGGGTTGTGCCTTCGGCCAGTTCCATGTAGTGGATAAAGCGGGCTTTCCCTTCAGGTTTTTGGAGGGTCTGAGTCACTAAAAGGGCAAAAAGAAAGGAGGGAAGCCGCCAGGCTGTGTTTTACAAAAGCTCTCGGCTCCCTAAGGCCAGACCTCAGCGCTGCTCGGTTAGAATTATGACACCGCAAAGGAGCTTCATTTGCAGAGGGCGCCACCCGCATGTGTCACAGGGAACTCGGAGCCAAAGATTCGAGGAGACGCTTCTCGTTAGATTCCAGGTGAGTCAGCAGCTTCCAGTAAGGCAGGGAATGAAAGGGGAAGGAGTTTAAGAAACAGGAAGCATTTCCAGGGATTTCCGAAAAGGTCCTTTCGTTTTCTACTTAAAATAAGCTTACGCAATAACTGGGTATTGGCCAGGCTGTTTTGTTGTTTTTTTAGTCTGTTCTTTCCTGATGAGGTTCCTCCCCCTGCACTCATTCAGAGGCCTGAGGAGGACCTCATAACCAGGCCTTCCCCCGCCCCCCACCATTTCTGACGCTGGAGGAAAAAGATGATTATTCTCACCTGGACTCTGAAGTCCCGGTCTCCCTTTGCTACCCCCACGACGTTTGAAAATGAATACATCCAGTTACATCTTTTTCTTTTCCTTTCTCATTTGGAGCCCTGTTGGCTAACATATAAAGTTGAAAGCATCCACAAATTTATATGACCAAGTACAAGACGTAGAGATTGGAGAGCATTTTATGCTTTTGTTCTCCCAGCTTTGTTACAAAAAAGTATACACGTTATCTCAAGGAACGGGGTGGGTAAGATCAGGCCTCCAACGACTTGTCCGTTTTGTATATTCACAGATGAGAAGAAGAGCATTACTGGTGGCTGAAGCCAGAGGGCCCCGTGTGCTGACGCAGGCTGCCCACCTCAGGCTGGCCCATGTGGAAATGGGGGTTTGCCCTGTGTGACTGAAGGTCTGGCAGGGAGACCTGTAGGCGTGGTTGGATGCAGGCTTTAGTGTTGCTCATCTCATTTTTCTTCTGCTTGACTTTATTTTCAAAGAAACTCGCTTCCATTAGCTATACCTCGTGTGATACCAGTCCCTCGACTTGTCATCTGGAGGAGAAAAAGGTTTTGGTTTTGGATTGTTCTTAGAAAGCACACACACACACACACACACACACACACCCCTTTGTGTAGACTGCCCATCCCAGAATTTGTCATTCAGGCTGGATTTGGGGTCGGGGACTTTAATTGGCCAAGTTTGGGTTTGTGCTCAGCCTGGATAAACAGGATTTAGTCCCATCTGAATAACACAATGATATTATGGGATGGTTCCCCAAAGGCCAGATTCTGAGAGAAAATCATTTCCATTATGGCCAGGACATCCGGTTCAAATCCCAGTCCTGCTGCTTTTAGCTGTGTGATTTGGGGAAGGCACTGGGCCTCCCTTACTTGCCTCACTTTCCACATGGAGATCATACCAACAGAAAGGGTTTTCGTGAGGCCTCATTCGCTCAGCAAACATTGTTTGAATGCCTGCTGGCTCTTTGCCCCATGTTGTGTTACAGTAGATACTTTGATGAGAGACAGGCTAGCGGATTCCGAGTCTAGAGGAGGAAGACAATGAAAAGAAACAACAACCACGATAGATGTGTCCGTATGGTGATGGAAACATTGAGAACAGCCTCCCTCAGACTGGGGAATCAGGCCTCTGACAAGGAATCGACACTTACACTGAAGGTTCAGGGTTAACCAGGTGACAGCCAGGTGAGGGAGGTTAGGAAAAGCAGCCTAGACTTTGAGAACAACAGCAACTCCTGAGAAGTTTAGTTCATTCCTGGACTTGCAAGCAAACAGGTGTGTCGGGGATGACAATGCTGAAGGGTTCAGGTAGGGCACTGACCTGGGTGCCCGCAGGTGGCACGCCAAGAGGGAGAGGGTTTATCCTGAAGGTGATTGAGAGCCACTGAAGGATTGTAAGATGAGGGATAAAATAAATGGATATTTTATTGAGTTTAGAGAGGAAGGGAGAGGGAGAGAGAGAGAGAAACATCAATGAGAGAGAATTATTGATTGGCTGCCTGCTGCAAGCCCCCTACGGGGGATCGAGCTAGAAACCCAGGCATATACCCTTGACTGGAATCGAACCCGGGACCCTTCAGTCCGCAGGCCGACGCTCTATCCACTGTGCCAAACCAGCTAGGGCTAGGTGGATAGTTTTTAAAGGAATATTGCTTTGATAGTATATGGAAAATAGTTTGGATAGGTTTAAAATTCAAGGGAGACAGATGAAGGGAGACAGATGAGCCGGGGACAGTGAAGATGGAGAGGAGATTGTGTCTAGGTCAGGGGTGGGCAAACTTTTTGACTCGAGGGCCACAATGAGTTCTTAAACTGGACCGGAGGGCCGGAACAAAAGCATGGATGGAGTTTTTGTGTGAACTCATATAAATTCAAAGTAAACATCATTACATAAAAGGGTACGGTCTTTTTTTTTTTTTTTTTTAGTTTTATTCATTTCAAACGGGCCGGATCCGGCCCTCGGGCCGTAGTTTGCCCACGGCTGCTCTAGGTATTTAGAAGATAGACTTTGTGGCACTTGGAGAGTGACTGGACGGGGAGCATTAAGGGTAACCTTCCCATGTCTGGACAATGGGAGGAGTTGGAGCAGGTCTTTGGGAAAATGAGGAATTTGGTTTTGACTGTGTTGAGCTTATATTACCTATGAGACACTTAGGAGGAGTCCTTTTATCACTCTGTAAAGCCTCCGTGAGTGGTTGGAGGAACACGTGGAAACAGGAAGCGCAGGGGCGGGGGCTTCCTGAGTAGCATGTGTAACGCATGTTGCAGAAAATGGCCTTGTTTCGGATGCAGCCTAAGTTGAGTGTCCCCTGTGTTGTTTGTTCATCTAGGATTTACATTTCCTCCCCAAAGGGTTTGGCTCTGTTGGTTTGTCATCTTCATTTTGGAACAATGGCATTGCTTATATCCATACCAAGCACCCCTGGCCTCTCGTGTGTTTGGTATATTTCGTGTCAAGCTAATATTTGGTTGCCTTTGTCTAGTAGTTATCCAATTCCCGGGCCAATCACGTGTACCTAGGTCAGTAAAGTTGCTTTTTCTTCGCATGTGTGGTATGAGTCATAGCAAGTGAAACAAGGAAAAGAGTTTGGACTATTTTGTCCTAAAGTTACTTGTTCCTATGGCAGAGCCAGATACCTACTTGAGGCTTCATGCCTCCCCTCCCCCACTCCCCCCATTGCCCTGGGAAATTAAGTTGTTGCAAAGAACTGTACAGAGTGGAAATTTGAGAGGGTGAGACAAGTTTTTTGAAGAGTCTGACCTGATTTTATGTCATTATGTTAAATATCAGTAAAACCAGAAATAACTAAGATTTTAGTTTATGAAAATAGCTTATTATATTTCAAGGTTTATGGGACATAGGTCAAGGACTAGCTGCTAATTATTGGTAGATGGGCTGTTTATTTTAAACTTGTTCAAACTGTCAATCTAAGCGTTCTTCACTAGTGTAATGCCCCTTTAAAAAGCATATTGGAAAGAAAGTAAAACAACTGAGAAACAGTAGCAGTGGTGGTATAAACAGGTATAACCTGCAGTTTTGCTTTCTGCCACCAGATGGTGCTTGTATACTGACACAACAACGTACAGTCTGGATACATTCCCTTTGGTTCATATTCTAAGGCTGGTGGTTAAATGATAAATGAGAGTTTAAACTGTATGAAATTGCTGATATTTGACTGTTTTTTAACCTATAAATATGTCAGCTTCATCTGGTTCAACATAGTAGGCAAAAATCAGCCAGATACACCACTGATATTTGGATGAATGGGCTTTCTGCTTTCAGAATTATGTAACGGAAATTTTATACAGGTTGGTAGTATTAGCTCTGAGAAATTTGAAACATTCTGAATTTTTTTTTCTCCTTTGATTTGGAGAGTCAGAATATTTTTATTTTTTCTACCCTTTCTGAGGATATGAAATTAAGTGTAAGGATAACTGATGTAATTAATAGTCATTTGCTAAGTCTTAGGAATGCCTTTTCGGACAACTTCCTAGAAAGTGAGAAACAGTAATTGTAGTAAATGTGTAACACGCCCCATTGCAAGTCAGGTGGTTTCTAGTTCTTTGCTTTCAACAAATCGCAAGAGGACCTGATCAAGTTGTCAGTGGCCACAGCATGAAAATAACTTCTGACGGTAGATGACAGTGGAAGTGGCGACACAGAAAAAACCTTTTACTTTTAGTAAAACTCAGCGGTGATTTATGTATTAACGTGAATGATGGTTTTCAGTGATTATTCCTACCTAGGAAACTCCAAATTAAAAATTACATTGAGAACCTATCTCATTTTAGAAGTAAGAAATATTCTTTGTTGAAACAACAATACACACTTTTTAAAAAGCCCTAACTATCTCACTAGGAAGCATGCCCACTAAGATTTTACTTTCTGTTTGAAAATCATCAAAATTTGTGATTTATGTTGTTCCATTAATTATTTGCTGATAATAATTGCAATAATGGATTATTCTACAACATTTTAAAAAATACATTTTTATTGATTCCAGGTAGGAAGGGAGAGATAGAGAGGGATAGAAACATCAATGATGAGAGAGAATTATTGATCGGCTGCCTCCTGCATGCTCCCCACTGGGGGTCAAGCCTGCAACTGGGGCATGTGCCCTGACCGGGAATCGAACCTTGAACTCCTGGTTCATAGGTTGATGCTCAGCCACTGAGCCACGCTGGTCAGGCTATTCCACAACATTTTAAAAAACAGACATGCTTATGGTCACAAGAGATATAAAACTTCTGAAATTTTAATTAATGTCCATATTCTTGATACACAGGATTATGGAAGAGTGAGCAATAAAAGACTTTCAGTTAAAAAGTGTAACATTAGGATACAATTCTATGGAGAGTGGTATAAGATGCAAATTCAAGAGAAAAAACAGTGATGTAAAATTTCTGATATATTTAACAGAATTTAGGCATTGTTGAAGTAGATGAGGATAGATGTCAACAACTTGTTATGATATTTAGATTTCTTTGGATACATTGAAAGGAGTGACACACTTTTATTTTCAAATGTCAATACTTACAGCAAACCAAAAACAACATTCTTTGGAAGTATTTAAGCTTCTAATGAAAAATTTTGTTTTATTTTACTTTTTCTAATGGAAAATTTTAGCTGTAATAATTGTGCAAGAGTATACATAGTTTTCAGAATTATTTTATGGGGCCTGAGCATTGAGTTTGAAGAGTCTTGCCATGGACGTGTGGAGAGACGCTGAATGGAGACGGCAGCTGTGGAATGTGCAGGGTGGGGTGTATTTTCTTGATTTTCACACCCAAAGGCAGCAACAGGTAGTTTGAGGAAAATGGCTTGCTAATTAAAAAAAATGTTTAACATGAATCTGCCAGCCTTAATTAATCTTTTGAACTCCAGCACACCCAAAAAGTAAAATCGCATTTCCCTTCTATGTTACCTAATATAATTCTCCCATTTGTAAAATAATAAACTTATTCATCATCAGTATTTCTGGTGTAGCGCAGGTGAAATATTTATCTTCCAACATTAGAGGGCAGCACGAATTTACCTTTGCAATTAGCTTTCACAACACGTGAAGGCTTTTAAGTCACAGGCTTAATGTAACGTAAGCATCATTTCAAGGAACTATGAAATTTTTTAGTTAAAAGTCAAGCTTCATTTGGCATTTTTGTAATGTAATAAAAAACATGATCGCATACAAGTAAGCTGCCCCTCCCTTCACCTTCCTCACCTCCCTGTCCCTAAGCATAGTAGAGCTTTTAAACATTTTGGAAAGTGGCACAGTTTGATTCTTACTATTTAAACTTAATACTTATCTTGATTTTCAGCTGAAGAATGGGGAACTCAGGAGTCTCAGGTGCTCTGTCGAAAAAGGGATTTGAAGACAAACTTGGGAAATGCTGTGTACTGTGTCCGTCTTAAAGATCCCGTAACGATTCTTAAAGATGCCCTGCAGAAAGCTGTTTGTCTAAGTGGTTCCAGCTCTGGCGGAGCATCAGGCCCTCCTTCAGCACAAACAGGTCCGATGCCAGGCTCTCTCCAGACTCGTTCAGTCAGAACTGCTGGCTGGAGAATTGCCCACCAGTGTTTTACAAGGTTCCCCAGGGGAATCGAAAGTCCTGTGTTGGGCACACATTACCCTCTGTTAACATCAGGGGTTAGGAACTGTATTAAAGGGTCGAGGCATTAGGAAGGTTGAGAACCACTGGTCTAGAAGGTTAGAAAGATGATTTCAGCCCGTAGCTAAGTGCTCTGAGAGGGGAGATGAGCGTGTGGAAGCACAGGCGAGTACGTTTGGTCCGTAGGTTCAAGTTTGCAAACCTGAACTGGAAGTGTTAAAGTAGAAGGTAAGAATTGCAGCTAACCACAGTCCTTAGGGAAGCAAGTGTCTGGGCAGCCACGTTTTTCAAAATGCTAAGGACTTAACCCTTTTTGCAAACTAAAACTTTTCTTATTCTAGTAATTGTGGATATAAATTTTTCTAAAAGTCAGGGCACATATTTTCCATATTAAAAACGCCACCATTACGAATCTAAAGACTCTATCACAGTGGTTATCAACCTTGGCTGCACATTAATATCACCTGGGAATCCTTTTAAAATCCTGATTTCTGGGCCTCATTCTCTGGAAATTCTGTTTCTTTGTTACGGGGTGGGGCCACAACATTAGTCACAAAGAAACAGAATTTCTGGAGGATGAGGCCCAGAAATCAGGATTTTAAAAGGATTCCCAGGTGATTTTAATGTGCAGCCGAGGTTGAGAACCACTGCTTTAGGTGAACATAGTCAGTGCCCAAGTGCTAGTGCACATAAGGAAACCCGCCAGCGCCCAGCTGGCATGGCTCGGTGGTTGAGCATCGACCTATGAACCCAAAGGTCATGGGTTGATTCCAGGGC